CCAAGGACTGCAAGCTTGTTCTTAACAACTTTCCTCCTGTGGAAATATATGGCTGAGAATTCAAAGTTGCTAAATCCGCACGTTGGTTGTGAAGCACTACATGTGAGCAGTGTGCAAATGTGGTACTTAAATGAATAAAAGATTATTTAAACACAAGATTCTTGTTCATATGTTTTGCATTCATTATGAACATCAATATAATTGTTGATATGGATAGAGACATAAGCTCCCTGTTTTGCTTATTAAATGGTGTGTTGTTACAGTCAGAAAACAGAAGTTAAAATGTATCAAGAATAATAATACCTAAGGTAGTGAAACAAGTTCAGCTATGCAGTAGAAATGAACTGAATTACCCTGGCTATGTAAGTGTTTAGTCTTGGATGATGGCCAAAGGTCTCCTCCCAATCAAGTTTATTCTCAGATCTGAACTAGAATAAGTGCTTGTCACCAGCACTTCTCCATGCCTAAGAAATGAATGTTGACTATAGTGCACACTACTTTTTTGTTGTAAATTGACATGCCAATGCAATTTGGAAGTTCCACTTCCTGAGGCGAAACATGGAAGGAATTTTAAAGAAAACATAGCTTGTTAAAATTGGCTATGTTTCTTCATAGACATCAAAAGCATCCATGCAGGTTTCCTCTGCTAATGACCTAGACACAGTGAAGATACCTGACCAGTTTATCGTCTCCAAAATTAACATGCAGATCACAACTAATCCTTTGGATTTCACACTTCCCTGAATTTGTGGCTCAAAAGGTCACTGAATTTAAAATAAAACTGGCTATACAATGCATATTTTCTATATCTTTCATTTAGAAATGCATATTATAACAGGAAGGTATTGTATATTTTGTAGGCAAATACATACTTTTTTGCAAATATTTTTTTTTTCTTTAAAAAGTGCTAATAAATATGGGACAAATTTGTGCATGAGTATATGCAAAATGACCCAGTTTTGAAACAGATAATTCATACATGTTTCTGCTATCACTAGCGCTAGATTATTATTTTTTTTTCAAGTTCAAGGTTAGTGAAGTGATCTGTTCATTTTGTAGGTAAACTTGCTAACATCTGACATGATAGATGATGACTTGGACATATTCAAAGGCAATGTCACTATAAAACAAAGTAAATATACTATCTGAGTAATTGGACCTAAAATAGGGTTAGTATCACCATCCTATACAAGTCTATCACAAGAACATTCCACTGGGGTCAGCTAACTACAATAGGCTTGCAGCCTACGTATAGCAACATTTCTCTTTTAAGAGAGAGAGAGAGAGAGAGAGAGAGAGAGAGATGATTTTTAAGCTTATTTACTATTCTAAATGGAACGGCAATAGAACAACACCATAAAAAGTTTGAAAATCCGCCTAGTGAGTCTACCTTCCTTCTTGAATAAAAGAAGAAATTAACTATAAGAATTTAAAGAATTGGAAAAAAACAGCAAAAGGCTAAAGAAGATTTTGATCTAAGATACACAAGTTAAGGGACAGACAAATTTGGAACATTGAGACTTTTACTATAAGATTTTGGAAATAATTAAATAAAATAAACAGCACCTCATAGGAACCAAATTGTTTTGTCTATATTAAGTCAAAAAGAACCTTGAGACTTTATGATTTCAGAAAATGGACACTAGAGGGGACTAAAGATTCCAGGCAGAAAAAGAAAAGGAAAAAAAGTGTAAACTTGCCTGTGGTTTTTGGTTAGTATGAGGATTTATAAAATGACACAAAATGCTATAAAGTTTTGAAATACATCAGGAGATTTTCAAAGAGTGGGGCCAGACATTAGTAACGACAATATCAGAAATGTCATGATGATGCCCCCATGTTGAAAGACATCCATTAGTTGCTAATTATTTTTCAGGAACATTTAAAAGAAGTTGGGTTTGCACTTTAAAGCTCTAAATAGCCTGGGACATGGCTCTCTATGGATATGAACCTATCTGGATGATAGGATCATCAAAAGAGGTTTTCTTACAGATGTCCTCACTTTCTGAGATCCATTCCTTCCATGGTTGCACTTCCCTCTCTTTCTTCTTCCCTCTCTACCAGATTTCTCTTTATTGTTAGTCACCTTGCATGACTTCTAACAAAAAGGCAGAATGCCAGTGGATTAAATAAAAATAGTAATAGCTACATGTCTATTTTATAAAGCTCTACCAAGGAGACGTACAAGAGGATTGTTTGCAAGGTCTCAAGTCCCCATCTGATGGCCAGGAGATGGATGAGGCTTTGCTTCATCAGCTTCCCTTTATTTGTTTGTTTGTTTGCTTAAATGTAAACTTTCCCCCCTTTTTGTCAACTGTTGTTCTGCATTAACTATTGTTGTGTCAAACATGTCATATTTCATGGAAAGTAAAAAGCCTGCTTTAATCTTGAATGGTACCTGTTATTTTTTTTAAAAAAAAGTCTATGTATGTGTATGTATAAGTTGTGTCTCTATGTGTCTGTGTGTGTGTGTGTGTGTGTATTCCTAAAAGCTATACCTGCTTTGAAA